CTCCCCCCCCCCCCGGAAGAAGCATTCATTCACTTGATTCAGTCTCAACACCGTCGATTCAGCTTTGGTAGATTTGGCAAAATCAAGAGCACTTGGTATTGGTAGTCGTCTTCCTTCCTTTGTTCCATGATACGTGTCTTGTCGTCTTGTCTTGTATGCTCGTATTCTTCGTAGTGCTTATTGGTATGTTGCCCTGTTGTAGTATAGGTAGGTCGTTTGTTATGTTGAGCCCCCCGGGGCAGGGTTGGCGTGGCGCGCTTCGATGGGGATATTACCCATCGAAGTCAGACATAGAACGAAAGGCGGAGGAAGTCGGTGGTATGACCAGCTTCTGATGGCCGTCCGGTGATTTGAATGCGTTGCTTGCGTTGCTTGCGTTGCTTGCCTTGCTTGCCTTGCTTCGATTTTTGTGAAGGAGGAGAAGGGCTGGTTGACATCCGGAAATATTATGTTCACCCGTTCACGTGGTGGCGTGCAAGCTCACTTGGGGCGATATTAGAGCACCATATGGTGATAGATAGCTGCAGCAGGTGGGTGGTGCTGCTCGGAAACGGGTGTATTTTCTATGTTGTGGTATTGTATACTTTTGTGCACTGGTCGCTACGACTATTCTACTGTACTTGATTTGATGGTTTTGGGTGTTGTTGTTCTTTTCGGGCCATCATTCACCCAGCGCCGAACACACTTGTTCATTTCTTTGTGCCTGTGTTGATGGGGGGCGGGAAGGGGCAACGCGATAGCGTCGTTGGGAAGGTCGTGCCACGTTGGGGCATAAGCACCATGCCACCCATTCGAGTGGTAAATTGGTGCTGAACGGCCGTACGTAGTGTTTGCCACTCTGACCTGTGCCCTTAGAAGGCAAACGAGGAAGGGATGGATGAAAGGAAAGGCTGCTGCTTGCTATGTATTGGCGTGTAAAATGTTGGTTGTCGGGTTGCAGTTTCTTGTTTTTGGAGCGACGGATTCGAAGAAACCAACAAGGACCTTAAGAACGGAAATTTCCAGTCGGAAATTCGACCACCGTTGGTAGACAGATCCTTGCCGCACACCCTCTTGTGTGCTTGTTGCTCATCTCGTGCAATTTCCGGATTCTTGGTTGTTTAGCTCAGTCTGAACACGGGCATTCTGGTAAGTTCTACACCGGCACCCCCTAACGATACAGGGCATGTCTTAGCTAAATAGGTAGGTTTTTGAGCGGGGAGGCATCATTGGTGGCAGGCACCAAAAACGCGAGGTAGGTTTGTTGGTGTGAACATAAACATATTCATACGTGATATAGTGTAGTGTAGTTGATATTAATATTGTAGTTGGAGTTTTTGTCAGTTATGCTTTGGGTCCGACGAACGCAGCAGCAGCAGTTAGTTACCTTACGTGCGAGACGTACACGAGGGGACAAGGGGCAGCACTTTGTCGGAAGACGATCCTCCCCTTCCCCTGCCACCCGCACCCCTGCTCCAAACAAGCACGTGGGCGGACAATGATATGCTTATTGTCATTGGGGTGGGTGAGTGGGTATATCAGGAATTTCGCAAGGCATCGTGGCCTTAGGGTCATCATGAGGTCGTCGTAACCGGATGAACACCGAAACATTTTTGCTTACTTTTTGCTGCCGTCGTAGGTTGGGTGGGCACGGCCTCCTGTCGTTTGTTCTGGTTTGCCTCTTTGCAGAACGAAGCCCGTGTCGTTCGCGGTGAAATTACTGTTTGTCTCATTTCTTGGATCGTAACATATTTGTTCGTCCGGTCCCGCTGTACCATCCGTGAAACTTTGGATCAGCCTCGCCCCGTCGTCGTTATCATGTCTGAGAGGCGGACAGGAGGGAACTGCAGGATGAATCGATGGACTGCGTATGTATGTGACATGCCTACACGTACGTTTGTTTCTCGTTTTTGGCCTGCTTGTGAGTTAACTTTATTCAATGAACAGATATCGGCAGAAGGCAGAAGGATTGGCAGAGGAGTGAATCTCAAGTCTCGGAACATGAACCTCATTTTAGCAGTGCGGTCTCCACGCAGGTCCCTTTACGTGCGCACGCGCAGGTCCGCCGGCACAGTTTTGATTGAATCCAAGAAGATGGAATTTGCTAATCGCGTGATGTTGCTTGAAGCACATGTGCTCTCTCTCTCGCGCGCGCCCGTTTTGGTTACAACAACCTCAGCCTGGTGTCTGGATGGTCACTTTGAACAACACGGCGGCAGCCTTCTGTAAGTCTATCTTGCGGTGGTGAGTGGAGTCCTCGACAGCAACAAGCTTTGTTGGCTAACTGTTTGGAATCGGAAGAGGTTTTGGATATCAATGTGTTTTTTCGCTTGCTGTCCTTCCTTTACCTCACGTCTCTCTCGAAGCAGCGATGAGTATGGAAAGGGGGCGAGATGCGTACGTGCTTGTCTGTTCGCAGAAGGCAGCAGCGCTCTGGTTGTCATTGCAGAGAGTTCACACGCGTCAGGGAGTGGCGAAATTAAATTGTTATCTTGATAATAGGAGCGTTTTTTCGTCAGGGGGCCACAACGTGGCACAAGAGATCTCTGTCCCTCGCCTACAGGGGAGTAGATTTGGTATCCGTTTCAACATTTTTGGTTCATGGATATGGTGATACGAGCGAAGAGAAAGAGCTTAGAGTTTGATATCTTTTTATCCTTCGCGGAATGCGCTCGCTCGTGCTCTGACGTCGCACCATCGCCGTATCACTCCCTAAACTGCTGTCACAGCAGCGTTTCAGTCACTCTCGCACCTATAACTCTGATCCAGCCTAGCACAACGAAGGGTGACAGGACCTTTCCCGACAACCCCTTTTTTCCCTCTGCTGTGGGAGCTGCTTTCACCGTTGTTGCGGCCGATTGGAAAAAACGTCAAACGCGTTGTTGTTGTGTTTTTGTTGATGTGTTGTTGTTGGTGTGGTTGATTTTTCTCGACAACAACGCGGTCTTCGGCTTTATCATACGTCCAGCACCTCCACCATCACAACACCGTCCGTTCGTTATTGTCCCACGTTGCGGCAATCCGCAGAGACGCCTTCGGTAACCACAGGTTTTTCAACATCGAAAGAAACAAAGTCATCTCCCAAACCCACCCAAACTGTAACACCCTCAACGAAAAAAAACTCCTCAAACGCAAACACGCGCTGTTTAGCTTCTCAGTTGATGCCATTGCATCTTAACCCCTGCAATCCGTGACATCTGTTGTATGCAATATTAATATTTTGCTCGACTCGTTGAGACAGAGTGTGCCTGGTCTGAAAATACACCTTTTTTTGCAACAACAGGAGATACCCTTTACCGACTCCTTCTCAATACTGATACATACTGCCGGTTCACCGCTCTACATGTATCACTCTCAATATCTTGCTGTCTCGCCGTCCCTCTAGAGGCCGAATACAGAGGCCATCTAAGAATTGCAAGATATTTATCGTTACCTATACAGCGTGACCAGGCGCCACCACCGCCATCCAACGTCGTTTCCTCAAACAACGTAGCACGGCAGGAACTCCAACAACGCCGGTCACCATCAGTTTCATGTCAAAATACGTCTCCCTCCAAGTGCTTAAGACCACTTGATACGGAACCAAAAAACGGGAGGTCAACCTGCACCGCATTCAAAATACAGGAAACCCCGATCAAGGGCAAAGTGCTCGCAGCCGCGTGTCAAGAGAACAGCATCCTCACCAAGAATGGCGGCTGGGGTGTGGCACCGTACCCACCGTACCCAGGGCCGTAGGAATACCCCGCCCAGCCTCCGGCATGCCCCGCCGGCACCCTAGCATTGGGCATCTGAGCGCTCACCGGATAATGGCCCCATACTCCACCCACCCCTTGCCCCGCTCCCACCCTCGCGGACGCCGCGTGGCCGTAGTAAGTCGGAGCACCACAAATACCAGCACCAACACCAACACCAACATGTCCAATGCCAACACTTACAGGCGCACCGTACGCGGCCTGCTGCCATAGCGGCGGGGGTGATGGTTCAGATCGTGCCGGCGGTGCCGCAGCCCGAGAGAGGTACGGAGCTACCCCCGTCGGCCCCACTGCACCCCACTGCGGCGGCGGCGGAGGGGGAACCGCAGACGGTGTGCCGAATTGCGCGTAGCCCGGTGCGTTACATTGCGCGTAGCCCGATGTGCTGTGTTGCGCGTAGCCCGATGCGCTGTGTTGAGCGTAGCCCGGCGCGTTGTACTGCTCGTAGCCCGGCGGTGGCCGCACACAGGGTGGCGATGGGACGACAGTGCCGGTTCCATCAAACGCACTGTTCATGTTGTTCCGGGGAGCGTCGTGCTGGGGGCGGCGGCCGCTGTGTCCCTTTCCGCCTGCGGCGCCGGAGCGGCGGGCGTCTGGCTTCACACCGATGCCAACACCGGCCTCTTCGTTACCACCGCGGTGCTGGTGGTGGTGGTTGTGCCGGCGGTGGCGTGGGGCAGCGGCAGTCGTGGGTGCGCATCCTTGCCGCTGAGGGTGGTGGTGGCAGTGTTGCGGGGCCTGTGCATAAGCACCGACACGCGCGGCATTGCCGTCCCCGCCGACTCGTCCCGCTGGCTGGAGGTTCTTGAACTCCCCACCCCCCGGGTCACGGTGACCGTCGTACGGGGAGGGCACATGCTGACTGCCGACCTGAATCGCCCGGGGCACCCTCTCATCTCCTGCTCGTACTTCTCCACTGATGAGGGGGGAATCGCGCGGCACGTTGCTCGAAGGTGGCTGCCAGCATGCCCTGCCGTCCGCTGCTACCGCTGCTGCCGTCGCTCCACCAGCAGAATCTTTCGGGAAGGGCGTGGCGGCCGACCCGCCAGCACCCGCCCGGCCTACCACCGCCGCGTCCCCTCCCGTGGGTTGCATTATCAACGGTAGCATAGCATTTCCACCGCCACTGCCCCCACCGCCGCTCACAATAGGTCTCCCGCCGTCGCCGCCACCTTCACCGCTCAGTACTTGAGCGAGCGATGGTGCCATCTGGGGAGGGGCGGGTGCCGCAGCAACGGCGTTTGTCGTGGCAGCAGCGGCGGCAGTAGCAGCAGCGGAGACGGGTGTGATCCCTCGTTCCTTCTCGAGCAAGCGAGTGCTCATGCTGGTGAGGGACTCGACAAGCTCCGCTGGCGAAGGGCGGAGGGTCGGGTCGCGTTGGAGGGCCGCTCGTACGATCTCGATGAACTGAATTCGTTCGTACACCAGAAGCAAAATCGGGTAGTAGTGGCGGCGACGGTGGAGGGAGAAACGACGGTCAAGATACATCGCTCACGAAAGCATGGAGTTTGTGAGTCGTCGCGTAACGTTAGTGCACCGTTCAAGGAGCGCCCCATGAGGGTGCGCAATAGCTTGTGTAATCAGCGGCCATCCACGGGCAAAGGAAAAATACCATTGGAGAAGCTCATTGGCATGACATAAAACACCATGGGCGGGAGTCCCCGGCAAGGCCGTTCCGAGAAAGCGACCATTCGAGACCCGGAGCATGTACACACCCCTCGTCCTGCTGGCGTGAGATTGAAAACTGTTGTGAATCCCACGAAATGGCACCCAAACAGTATTTACATGTAAAAGCCCCATAGCTGAGAAACGGTGTCAACAGTTGTCCACGGTTCAAGTGTTGTCAGTTGTAGACGCATGGGAGTCTCCTCACTGCCAGCGAAAAGCTGTGGTCATTGGATTGCAAGGCTTCTGTGTCGACGTGCTCCAGACCACGCCCATCATCTAACCCCAAGTTTGGAGTGAGTCTCAAAACAATGCGGATCTAAGCCGATCGTCAGCAAGAACTGCAATATAGAGAAGTTTGGGCGGGCACGCCGGCCGCCACAAGACCGTCTCACCGAGAAGATGGTACGTTATCCTTGCCTCATGCATGCGGTGTGCATCATAACCATGTGAGCGAGCTAAGGTAAGGCCAGGACCATGGCCATATTTTGACGCTCTCACCTCCTGCTTCACGTCATGAAGCTCGTCCAGAAGGTGGTCTGGGTTGAGCAAGATCTCGAGTGTAGAGGACTCCAGCATGTTCCGGTGGGAGATTATCTCCTGCGATCAGAGTACGTAGGTTGGCGGCGGGCGGTGATAAATCGATCTCACTGTTGTTTCTCCCAAACCATGGGCAGTTCATTCAATTGACCTTGTCTAAACGGTGATACCCATTGCCTCTGACGCACTCTTATGGGTTGACAGCCGACCATCGACACGTACAACACGAGCGAGAAGTACCCGGCCGCAGCGAAGTGGGGGCGACAGCGGGGATACCACACTCCCCTTATCCGGAGCCGGTTCAGTATTGTCCCCCTCAAAGCTGGGAAACGCCTCCCTAAACTGGTGCTTCCATCTCTACTCCCCGACGTCCCCGCCCCCGGTCAACAAATGGCTGTGGTACGAGTTGGGTAGGGGTAGGGGGTGGAAGTCACGAACGTGCTCTCGATACGGTGCGTTATGCTACAATCTTGCATGAAAACACGAACACAGGAACACCAAGAATAATCCTAGCTCCAGGAATAGTCGAAAGCTGTTCCAAAACACGGCCACAACCATCAGGAGATAGTGGAAACTGGACTCACGATGTACGTGTCGAACCGACGGTCGTCGTCGATATTGTCGAGGCACCTTCTGTCGCAGCGCGTTATTAGCTCCTATAGTGTTGCACGCACACGAGTAGACGAACAAACACGCGAAACGACGAACAGGGGCGTCCGTGGGAGGCAACCGAGAGGGAGGTAACTGAGAGGGCATCCAAGCGTCCATGAGTGGCTGGAAGGCGAGCGATTCCCGTGCAGACAATGGAGAAGACTACAAAAAAGCAGAGGCGTGATGGGGTGATGATGCGGTGTATCGAGGCCTCGACGATCAGCCTGGCATGCTAAAAAAAAGCGCCCGGGGCGGTGTGAGTGTCTGCACAGCAGTAGCAGTCCGATATTTCCTCGGTTCTCGAAGCCAAGGATCGCACCTTGTCCCGCCTACAGTAGTTCATCACAGGTGGTCATTCATCTGATCGAGAAAACCTCCAAGCTCCCCGAGAACCTATCCCAAGTTCAGAGTCAAAGGGACCCTCCCTGTCGGTGATTTTGAAGCAAACACATCCCTGTCACCGTCGTAGCCAAGTGTCGAGCGCACCTCGCTTGCGAACACATTATGACATTTCCGGCCCCTCTTGGTGAACGTGACCAGGCAGGTGTGTGCCATGGAGAAAACCTCCGCGAACGGGTGGCATCTGACCGGGCTTCTCGCTTCCGGCGGCCTGCTCCCGAGGGTGCCTTCTCCCAAACGTTCGTCTCCGATGGCTGATGCCGACGACGGTGGTGGTCGTGTTTGGAAGTAATATTTAGTTTGAGCTCATGGCCGGCAGAAGCGGGGAAAGGAGTACGGTTAGAGAGGTGATTGAACGTACGAATAGCGCCTCATACAGGGGAGTGAGAAGAGGCCACTCCAACGTAGTAGCGACACCGTCTCTCAGTGAAGGGGCACGCTGAAATGTTTTTTGGCAGAGGGAGGCGAAGGCCAGAACAGATTGATAAGACGTTGGCCCAAAGCGGGGAATAGGCCATCGAACACACACGTGAGTAATTCTTCCTAACACATGTAGGGCGGTGCTGTCNGTAATATTTAGTTTGAGCTCATGGCCGGCAGAAGCGGGGAAAGGAGTACGGTTAGAGAGGTGATTGAATGTACGTATAGCGCCTCATACAGGGGAGTGAGAAGAGGCCACTCCAACGTAGTAGCGACACCGTCTCTCAGTGAAGGGGCACGCTGAAGTGTTTTGTGGCAGAGGGAGGCGAAGGCCAGAACAGATTGATAAGACGTTGGCCCAAAGCGGGGAATAGGCCATCGAACACACACGTGAGTAATTCTTCCTAACACATGGGGCGGTGTTGTTNCCACTCCAACGTAGTAGCGACACCGTCTCTCAGTGAAGGGGCACGCTGAAATGTTTTTTGGCAGAGGGAGGCGAAGGCCAGAACAGATTGATAAGACGTTGGCCCAAAGCGGGGAATAGGCCATCGAACACACACGTGAGTAATTCTTCCTAACACATGTAGGGCGGTGCTGTCACCTAACGCGCATCCGAAGTCCGCCAGTACTGCTCGTGTTTTCGTGTTCCCATCCTGTGTGGAGTTCACGAGCAAGATATTAGCTGGCTTGATGTCGTTGTGGACATAGCCGTGGTTGGCAAGGTGGGTCAAACCCATGGCGGCTTCGCTCAGATACCTGCAGGAGCAGAATGGATTCGCAGCCGTGACGGGGTCAGAAGATTGATACCCCGGGCATTAGACCTGTCGGTGAAAATGAGTCAAGCTAATTCATATGAGTCAGGATGGCTGAGTCCCCACGGTGTGGCAGAGGCAAGTACATGGAGTGTGGATTTCGCTTCAGAGTATCGCGAATGGCACGGTGACCTGATTCACCGCTGCAGTTCGCGACAAGACCAACAACGAAGTTAGTTCGTGTGTTGAATTTTANTAATTCATATGAGTCAGGATGGCTGAGTCCCCACGGTGTGGCAGAGGCAAACATGAAGTATGGGTTTCGCTTCAGAGTATCGCGAATGGCACGGTGACCTGATTCACCACTGCAGTTCGCGACAAGACCAACAACGAAGTCAGTTCGTTTGTTGAATTTTCGCCCGGTGGTCCCTGGGATCGCACGGGGATGCACTGATTCTGGAAAACCTGCCACCAGGACGGAGGTTTCTTGTTGCTGCTGCGACGTTGTTGCGGGCGTCTTGGACGCAATACCAACAATTTCCGATTGGCGCAGTACAGCGTTCGTGCTTTCAATCTGTATCACGAGAGAGCCGACCAGGGCCCGCTGGCCATGCACGACCTTGGCGGCAGACACACCGTAAATGATGTTGTTTTGCAGGGGCGTACGGGTTCCGTGATACCGCACATGGATGCACTTGAAAAAAGAACTCAAGCGATATTACTACGTTCCCACCCGGGGTTCCTTAATTATTGGCCCTGATTTGGCACGGGTGTGTGCAAGCAACCGAAGAGCGAAGTGATCTGATTGGAAGATCGCTCCGGGGTGCCATGTCAAGAACGTGTATATTGCACTCAATATGGGCAGAGTAGGGCAGAGAACGATGCAGATTCAGAGTCTTGCCAGTTTTATACTGTGGAAGGAGAAACGCATCCTCGGCGGCCACCTTACATAGCAAACCCTCGCCAGCATGCACCGTGTGGAGTTAGTTGTCCCGGCAGGGGAACGGATTGAGACCCGAGATCAACAACTATCCACCTGGGTGAGTGAAAAATGGCACTAACGGATATCGAAGGTCACCATTGTGTCAACCATGAAGCGTATTCATGGATGTTCCCTGTGACAAAGCCACAGTACAGAGACAAACTCCACAACTCATCTCTGCAACAAGGTAAACAAATCACAAGTTGTAGGCCGTCAGTCAACGGCAATATTTTCCAACCGAGTCATGTGGTACCGGTGGGTCGAGAGGGATGACGTGAGTTCACATCTCACCGCATCTTCGTCCCCGCGCTGTCTTCTGTGCTTCCCCACGCGCAGCGGCTGAAATCCCCCTCTGCAAGGTGGTAGACGATCTTCATGCAGTCTAGCTCCCTGTCATCTACTCCCACGGCTTGGAGGACGTTCGGGTGTGGCGGGACATTGACAGCCAAGGACGAAAACATCAGGCCGGTATGGGAGGAATCACACAAATCATCCGATACTGCGGGCATCGACGCGAACAATGTGGGTTGATCGAAACACGCGCGGAACCGACAATGAAAGCGGTATGCAACGTACGTGGTTGCGAGCCGTGCCTACAAATCGGTGTACTTGGTGCACGAACCGGAACGAAGGATGGAACATGCCTGTGGAAAAACCACCACTCCTGCTCCCAAGACACCAAAACCCCTATAACGGTGTTCATCTACCGCAAATTCTACGTGCTTGCAACCACCCCGCCCTTGCTGCACTCTATTCGTTGACTGTGACAAGTCTTCGCTACTCTGCAAAAACAAAACGACGGCGACATGCGTGTCTCACCAGACACAGATGACCATCTCCCCGAGCAGGGACTCTTGCGACCTGCGCGTTCGCCTTCGAGCATTCTTGCCCTCTCCCTGAGGTACGAGGGCCAAAAGCAAGCAGGACGGTGCAGCAGTACCAAGCCCAGTTCGAAGAAGCTCCGATAGGGGGCCAGGTACACTTGAACTATCACATTACGCAGAACTACAAGGAGGGGACAGCTCATCGAACGCTTTGCAATGGCTACACATGATCACCATCAAGAGCAACCAGTGCACCAACACGGAGGTATCACACCTACCTCATTGATTAGCTTCATGGCGAAGCTCTCCCCCAGGGTGAGGACGTCTATCTTGAAGACGCCACCGAAAGTTCCTCGTCCCAGGCAAGTGGATAGCACGTACCACGTATCCACCGGCGACAGAGCTCGTGTAGCCAAGAAGGTGGCGTCCACGTTGTTCCTTGCCATGGTGCGCGCCACGAACCGTTTGAAGAAGCTTCCTTCGACCCACTTGTTGAGCGCCGTGGTGACGGAGTTAGCGGGGGGTTCCACCGGAGCTGCGACTGGTTCCTGGACGAGCAGCGGTTCCATTGCCAAGGGCATGGGGCAGGTAGTCACTATCACCGACCCTTGCGGCTGAAGCTTCGAAACATCGCATGCGCAGTCTGTTGTTGCTTGCGGCGACGATGACGAACACTGTCGAACGCGCGAGGGATACCGCGAGACGCCAAATGAGCAAAAACAGGTTACAAGAAGCCCCATCTTGTTGACACTATTGCCGAAAATCACACAGGGTGTTGAATCTCGTGCAATCTCTGTGCGTGTGAGGCAGCAACACCATTGTTACACAGGGAACCTTTCTGCCGAACCTACTTTTCCCGAGTGTAGTACCCTCACCTTGTTCTGCGCGCGATCTACTAGCTCTAATATGTCCTTGGCCACTCTCTCGTCTGCAGCCGAAATAACCTTATCCCGTGCCTGTTTCCAGTCAAAAAGTGGAATTTTTCACTGCCGTTGAATGTGAGGGGAGAGTGACGTCGCCGGGTGCTTGTTTTGGGAAATTTCATTACAGTGGGGGTAGGGCATAGGTGTTCGGATGGCCCGAGAAGAGCCATTCCCTACTAACGAGGATGGCTCCCGATGTGGTGCCGCACGTACTCTTTTTCAGAGCCCCGTTGGGAGAAGCGAGAGACTGGTAACGCTATCCTGCTTTCTACTGCCTTGGTAGACACTCACATCGCACGTCGCTAGAGCAGCCTCCAAGCGAAGTACGGCGCGCCTCACCACCGCCTTCTTCTTGTCCATGAAGCCCAGCAAGTCCACCATGAACTTGTTGTGCACCTTGATGCGCTGCAGAAGGTGGGATTTCTGAAGTTCCAGAGAAGCACCTGCCCTTCCCCCCAGAGACCAGTTCTGGTCTTTTTCTTGTGCTACTTGCGCTTCGAGGTCACGATTGCGCCCTAGGAGTACGTGTTGGAGGTTTGACTCCTGAGCCTTCAGGTCGAACATCTGGTTATTAGCATCGTCGATAACCGACAAAGGTTCCGGCCCGACCGTCGCAAGCTGGTCAGCCAGGCCTTTCATAGTAGCAACCACGGGGCGTGCCTGGTCAACGGGACCCGGCGAGCAGTGTGGCGGGGTGTGGTTGGGGATTGTCAACCCCACGGCGGGCGGTAGGCATGCAATAAGTGGTGCACGGATAGTATTGATGCAGTGGTGTGCGAGGGTCTGGTGTAGTCCGTTACGACCGCACTCATGTTGAGCACGGCCACGTGACGGTAGAGACGTGACTTGGAGCTAGCGAGTGGTTGTGTTGGATAGGTCAAGGGTGCTAACAGGGCGAACGAAATGCCTGTATGCGGACGATGGCCGCTTCGCTGAAGACAGCGGCAGCAGATTCGAGAAAACATGGGGCTGCTGCGTGTTTCTCGTTGTTCAATTGTATCCTCGGTCTTCGAGGCTGAAAAACCGCGTGCAGCACCCACCTCCTCTCCCTGCAGAACGCTTGCCTCGGCGGTGTTCAGATCGATGGCCAGACCAACGAGGTGCCTCAGGCGCCGCTCCTCGGAGGTCTGACGCAACAAGCACATGAACGGCACACGTCAAATGACGCCGTCGAGCGAGCACGCGAACAGTACTCTGTCCCTTTCATCGCACAGCACTCTTGTCACACCGAGGGTAGTGTACAATATTGACAGCGAGGGTACATAAGCTGCTTGTCTGTGACCACCCCGTCACTTTCACTCCGCCCCAACCAACACTCGGCGATCAGACCGCAAACGCCTACCCTGCGGTCATAGATCCCGGACATGAGCATAGCCATGCGGCACTTCTTCACCCAGTTGCTGTCGGTGCTTCTGCTCATGACGCACCGCCACCAGTTGATCCTCGGTCACCTATGGGTAAGGGGACGAAAATACGGTTGTCAATTATCTACGCAGTCAGAACAATACACGTCCGACCACTACCGGACAGCGAGAGGGCGGCCTCAATGTACCTTACCGATCTCTGTGGCGTGTCTCTCCTGCGCGCCCCGCCAGGGAGACCGGTTTCGAGAGATAGAAATACTACTCACGGCAGGTGTGTTGGATTTTAATTGCCGTCACCCACCCGTGATGTTGATAATTTAACGTGACACGAAATGCTGCATCACTCGGCCCGTCAACACGGCAATTCCTGCTCGCAACTCCGTACCAAACGCAATTCAATGTCGAGGGTCCATGTGGGGGTTACCCGTAGTCATGTGCTGCTCTCAGGCAGGAGGCCAACTGGTGTTTCTTTGGTACATGACATATACGTAGGCCACATGCATGTACGTCCATACAGCTAAATAGCTGACATAGTCAATACATCCGCAGCAGCTAGCCTATACAGCACAGGCTCGGAAACCCTCCCTCGGCAACAGCAGTCACACCACAGAAACAACCAGGGCTAACACGCGTGAAATATCTACCCACGGCTGAGGTGGTCATACATTGTCGCAGGGGCGGGGTGGGTAGGTGAAGCGTAGCCGTGGTCATCAACAGGTTCGTCGCTTCGATTGTCTGTCTGTAGACTAGACTACGAGAGTCTCAGCATGGTTGGGTTTTGGAGGTCAGTCCGTGGAGGATTGTTCACATGTAGACCAACGTAGGAGGATAGATAGTTCACCCATTTCGCTCTGAAGCTCACCGTTAGGCTGTCATTGCGTGAATGCCCGCAGCCGTTGGAATCCCACCCATGCGAAGGTGCTCCCTCGTTGGCGTGTAACGACATGATTTTCTGCACGTGTGCGCCGCAGGAAAAACACGAACAACAGTTAGACTTAATGTACCGAAACCGGGCTTCAGTCGGCGCTGACCACAGCAGACCGCCACTAGTGTACCCAACCACTGCTGTTAGCTGGTGGTGAGATCCTCAGCGCGGTCGATCTCTTGCATCTGCCTCTTTTTGCTCGTTCTTCATGGCCGTACGCTTCTCTCTGTCGCTCGGGCCCGCTCTGAGTCTCTCGCGTGAACTCCCCCTCTCTACAGCAGGCATCTGTCCGTCTGCTCACCTCTCTCTTGCTCTCTCTCCGTACGCTCTCGATGCCTTTCTTTCTCCGTGTATCTCACCCGCCCTCCCTCTTTCTCTCCCTCTCCTTCTCTCTGCCTCTGGCTGAAGTCGCTTTGGTTGAGTAGGTCGAAAGCTGAAGTGCACACTCCCACCTCCCACCTCCCACCGGCTAAAGATATGCGGTGCATCTCGTAAGTTACGGTTCGCAGGGGCGCGGGGGTCAAAAGGAGGATGTGCCGCATCCTGACGTGTTTCACCCATGGAGACGTCTACAATAGTGCTGTGACTTCTTGACAGTAGCCTGGCCTATGCGCGCATGGTGTGACAAGCATGTTTGATTGTCGCTCGACCCGATTGTCTCTGCGACAGATGGCGATAGCGCAGGTGCTGGACATGTAGGTCGTCGCACTATGGATGTAGTACTCTGTTGGGGCGTGATGCCGGTGGGGAGGACAGCGGTGTGGATTATTTTCGCCTTGTGGTGTCGCGCAATAGCAACGTGTTCCCCCCACTAGACTAGTCCTTGCACGTGTGCAAAATCGCTCCGTACACCCAGCGACCTGCATTCACAGTCGATTGGTCTGCCCACCCCCCGGGCCGCGCCGTTTTTCAAGGTAAGTAAGTTGGCAACCCGATGCTTTACTCGGTCTCACGAGGCCCGCAGTTCCTTGATGCTTCTCTTTGCGAAACCGATGGGATAATCTATGGTAGTACACAGCAGACAGAACTGCTGTAGACTACAACAGTTGTTTCCACAGACCGGTCGCCCCTTTGGTCTAGTGGTATCCTCGTAATCCGCTAGTTGCAGAGGTCGTGAGTTCGAACCCCCATGGGGTGAAAAACTTACGAAATGTGCGGGTGAAAGCGAAATATAGCTGACAAGCTCTCGTGAGTACCAAACTTCGACGTTAGCACCGTTGACGAGGGAAAGGGACGGCTGGACCCTTGTCGCGAAAAAAATAAAATTCAGCACGCACCGCAGGAGGAAGGTGGGGCATGAAGGGAAATAAAAAGAAGAAAAAAGACCTGGTGTTTACCCCCTCCGGTGTGACCCTGGAAGGTTGTAGTTGTACGATAAAATACACTGAAAAGTGAAGTACTCTACATACGCTGAAAAGTGGAGTACACGACTCACCACGAAAATGGGGGGACTGTCGCCATAATGACTAGGACGAAAACACACACACATTCTATTTTCATCGAGAAATACATGTATCCGTGAAGCATCGGCTCCAAAGTACGTCCCCTCTCCACGCTTTACAAAGCCTCCTCTTCCAAAGCACTCAAAAGTCCAAAGCACCAGCAGAAACACCAATGCTTGAAATGGTAGGGGCAGTCATCGCAGCCTGTCCGATCAGGAGGACTATTCCCAGTAATTACTCCTGGACAGGCCATTAAGCCACGTGGCAGGACAACCGTGTCCTTTACGCCCTTTGAACCACATGGCTACTCATCCCAACGGAATACTAAAGCAAGCGCGGAAATTCAGCACAAAAACCCCACGCCGTGGTCACTCTACGACTAGGCACGGAACTGAAATGACTCAGGCATCGGCAACTGTAGTGGGCACATCCAAAACGAAACCCCGACCCTTTCGAAGATCAATCCATTGATACAACTTGCACACACACGCGCACAAAACGACAAAAACCGCTCCGAACGCCCACTGAAGATATATATTACTCTTACGCTTAGAATCCGGCTCATGGACACAACGATCAACACATAGTACACAAGTTTATGACTGAATCCCCCAAAGGGGCTCTACGGTCTGGGCGAGACTGTCCTAAGACAGAACGTTTGCTCGTACGCCGGGAGGTTTGCGCTATAGCCTGCAGGGCATCACCACTCCCAGACACTACCATCAGTTGCTTGGTGCTTCCTTTTGGCTTTGGAACGCCAATTTTTAGACTTAAACACGAACGGCAGCTACGCAACTGTGCGCACCCCCCAGATCCCGTCCAAAAGGGCGACATGCGCGGCATCCCGCGACCTGCAAACCCGCTCATCAAGCCATGCCAGACTCGCGAAACACTAAAAGAACACAACAAAAACAACAAACCAGACTGCACTTACCCCACCTTCCACAAACAGATTTTTCGCAACGTCAACCGCCGCGTCTCGTTCAGGCGACACGCAAGCTCTCAAGCATGAGACTGATGAGCACTTCGATGCTATCTGCGGTGATCACAACGTCCGAACTTCGCATATACCGGCGGCATAGGTACCACTTCATGCACTGTTCCACGGACGGCCACGACCAAAAGGCGAACGGTAACAACGGCGGGCTCTCCGAATACGCGTAACGGAGGCCCATGCTCTGCGCCATCGGTGCGTAGCCTTTCTTGTAGTACTTGTGCGGGTACACCTCAAAGAGAAGCGACCCGGGCGCCATGAACAGGGACAGCATCGACTGCGACGTCAACGACGGGGGGGAAGGGGTTACACGTGCTGAGTGGTTCTTATCGCAGCAAGCGAGAACGCTCAAAGGCTATGCAGCATTGCTGTGGCCGTGTACCCTATCAGGAAGGCAGTCAGTCGGACGGTTGGAGCTGGTCCAAAAGGGGTACAGAAGGTGCCAACACTCAAAACTAGGTAGTAGAGGAAACAAGGGTTCCAATCAAGAAAATGCATGTGCTAGAACCCTCTTATCACCTACGGTACTGCCCATGTACACTCCCCGTTGGTTGTGTCACTGACCATATAGTGGCCAAGGATTGCGCAAAACACGAGACAGTTCAGCGATGGCTCGTTTCGTAGGGGAGATTGCAGTTGCGTGCGTCCTGACATGAAGCAGCTTTCCCAATAGTCTTGGAGGGACGTGTCGTGCGCGGAACAGCTAGCCATGCCGTGCAAAAATGCCAGACCCAACACTTTCCTGAACAAGTCCCGCATGCTAAGGGACTATTTTCGTGTCACGCTTCGTTACAGCAGTCTGATTTCAAAGCACACATAAATAAATGAACAACGTTGACAAACGTACCTGGAACCCGTGCGCTGTCAAGAGGATGTCCGCCCCCGCCAGTTCCTGCACGAGTTCGCAAGGGTGTCGCTCGTCGTCGTGGACGATCTCCTCAACGGCCCACCCGAGGTGCCCCAACCGGATCCAAAGCTCATCCATTAGCTGCAGGAACGGTCGTTGTTGTGGTGTGACATACAACATAGCAGCCGGCGAGAAAGAGGCGACACGGTTTAATATGAGATACGAGAAGGGGAGGAGGGCGAGCGCATGACTTAGCCAGTGCTCGGAACCCTGTTCAGAGGTGTAAAGTGATGCCTTCACCAATCCGGGAGCATAGAAGTATGTCTCTAGGGCACTATCCGCGTAGCAACACCGTAGGCTACCCGTTTAAGAGGCCTACAATACCCGTTCCGGAAAATTCCTAGAACGGGGACGTGCTATTCAAGAGTTTTCACCCGTGGCGGTACAAGTGGTATTTCCTGACCGTGACGAGATCAACAAAAAAGAAAGAAAAGTAAGCTAGAAAAAAAAGTGAAAAAACACGATACACTTCTGCGTGCGGGGACCGAGGACAATCACTCGCTTCAATGGGGGGGATGTTTCGGTCCATCCCCGTAAGTACCACGCGGTGAGATGGGATGCGTTGGATGATGTACAGTCAGTCAACACCTGCAGAAAAAATAGGAAACGCCTTAGATCCCCAGGTGCCTGAGCGTAAGCAGTCGATACCTCATTCGAGGCCACTTTTCTGGGTGAAAATCGCCTGCGATCCGATCCTTAGCCAGACGGTCCAACGCAAAACATGATGAGGTTGACATCGATACGACAAGAGGTACAACTGCCCCAACGCGGGCTCGAGCCATGCTCAAGGCACATATGGACACAAAATTCAATTTCTTGTTAACGGCATACCTCGAAGAGAGACAAAAAACGGCGGGGTATCCGAAATTGGGGCCGCATTCTTCAGTAGCTGCTGTAGATTGCTCTAGAATGCCTGTAGTGAACCGCGACACGATCTTAATCCCTGGCGCGCCATCTGGGATCGGAGCCACGCAAAGCTAATGCACATACAAAGGGCAACACACGACGTATGCCGTGGAACCGACCAATTAACGACAACGCGCAAAAGCAAGGCGTAGACTATGCGCCTCGGCATGAAGGACCCACCTCCTCTGTCTTGAGCAACTTGCGGTTGCGATCTCTCTGGTAGATGACCAGCTTTCGAGGCTCGGGTTGACGCTTCTTTGCCCCCGCGCCAAACCCTCTGCCGCCTCCCGCGGCCCCCCGCTCCGGCCCCGCGACCACCGTCGCGTAGAGACCGCGCGACCCTCTCCCCCCCGCCCCCCGGAATTCGTCACGACCGGCGCCTGCTGGCAGCGGTGAGACAAGGGCTCCCGTGCCCTCATCCCCGCCATCAACCCCTCTCCTCCCCTCCTCCTCTTCTCGCTCCTCCTCCTCCTCCTCCTCCTCCTTCCTTAGCCAAGCGATGGGGCAGAAGCTATCCAACGCTCGCAAGAGCTCCCGCGGGTCTTCTTCCTCCGGAAACCACTTGTCTCTCTTCTGTCCCCAGTCCCCAACGGTGTCCACGAACTTCACGCACTCCCGCGCCCCCCCTCCCCTCCCCTCAATAGCAACGTTTTCGACACCTCCCCCATCCCATCGCCGGACCGGCGATAACGGCGCCGAAACGGCTAGCCGGTCGGGTAGCGGTTGCTCGGTAGATACAACGAACTGACTCATGTACCCGATTTCGTCCAGATGCAAGACCCCAGTCTGTCCAGGCCGAGGACTATCGCCGATCTCGCTACTACTAATACCGCCACGCAACGCCGTAGCCCCCGCCCCCGCTCCCCCGCCGCCGCTCTTGCTTCTAGAGGAAGCGGCGAACGAAAACGACGCGTGGTTGCCGTCCACAAAGTGAACGTCGTGCACGCCTACGCTTGACAGCCCGGCGGCGATCAGCAGCCTAGTCATCGGCGAAAGTCTGGAGTTCCAGGATGTGTCCGAGTCCTGCTGACGCCCAAACAGAGCAAGAGCAAGACATTGTGCTGCACTGGTATCATCAGAAGCTGGTAGCGTAGCTTTTCAATTTCATTACAATCGTTCAAAGGGTCTCTCCGTGATCATCGCACGACGAGTGTCGCTTGGAGCCAAAAGGCGAATCACGTGTATATTTGTATTCAGTATTCCCTAATGGCATAGGAGTATATAGAAGGTTTCCCTGCGGGAGTTAGGCCATTTGCCTCCCGGGGGCAACGCAAGAAGGACATGGCTAATCAATGCCATCGCGGTCGTATGGTTGGCCCTCATGACGCTCAGTAGTGCCAGTTTGCGTGCAACCTGATGCTAATTTGACTGGAATTTGCATCATGTGCGGGGTATTTTCTCCCGCCATGACTTTTCGCTTGTACGCGAGTGTGTGCTTTTAGGCTAGCGGTGTCTTTGTTGCAGGTCCTACTGCTGTAATCCGCTGTGGTTGATCATTTACCCTTCTTTAGTGACCATGTTTCCCATGGTCTTTGGGACTTTTTCACACAAAACACTAACAACGGATCGGAAAAACGCTCAACATGCCCAAGAACAGTCACAGATGTAGACTTGTGCAGTACCACAACTTCTATATTTGAATATTTCGATTTTTCGGAATTAAAATACAAGTGACCGCTGCCAGAGTTGTGCAAGAGGACGTCTGTGTCGCGTGGTATGTTCCCATGAGCAACATCAAGAGTCTTGGTCCCCGCTGCGGGTATGAATGCGCCAGTTGCTGTGTGGTGGGTGTGTACACAACAATCACAGCAGCTGTGTGGGCGCGTGGGCGCGTGGGCGCGTGGCGCGCGGCGCGCGGCAGAAAAAAAAAACTGCTTTCAGAATTCATCCCAACAGAGGAGGCTTTAATAGTTCGGATTCCTAACCCCTGAAAAAAGAGCCAGTCCCAGCGACACTAGGCGGCCCTAACGCGCACCACCGGTGTATCGCGAGCCCCAGACGTAACGGGTAATGTACGGACAGGTCCTCTGCGTGCCATGCAGAAGAAAGCGCGGGAAAAAATGCTGTCCCAGCGGAGAAAATCGAAGGCGACCACCCGAAAAGTCGAAATGCTACATATGCATGTCACGTGTGTATTTTTGAGTCATACACTCTGTGGTGGTGCTCCGTGCGAGACTGCGCCCCCCACGCAAGGCACATTATTTATGGCGCAAAACCACCATCACTTTCGCAGAAGCATGCACCAGAACGCGGATACGAAGTACGCTGTATAGGTATCTCGGGGCTGGGAGAGTACTGCGGTAACAACAGAATGGCGGCACTGTTGTATGTCGTTATTTCACGTGTAGTGCGCGCGGGGTGGCTCCTGTACGCCGCCCTCTGTTCTAATTGGCGCATCTTTACGGTACCAAGGTGGCAACGGGCGTCACTTGCGCAGCCCCCTTCCGTCCAAAGCCTAATGTTCTTGTCTTACTTTACATACCTTCACGTACACGTCCGTCCCGGACATACCGGTAAAATGCTCCTTGAACTCCGATCGCCGTCCGATGAAGCACTCCGCCACATGAAACCAATGGCTCGCTGATTCGCGGTATTCTGGAGGAGGAAGCACATTGGGTATGGCAGAAAAATATGGTTACGGCGGGCAGCGTCGTGTCTTGAGATAAGCGCGTGCTTGGGACGATTCGATGCATCACAAAAGCATGGAATGTTAAAATGGTGGTACTGTGCGAGGGCAAGCGAAATCACTTCGGTCGCAGCGGCAGGGTACAATATCTAAGGGGGCCCGCTGGACGGTACTTGGTGCATCTGAATAACGCAGTGTAGACTACATAGAAATAGCCTGTATTGATCGACCCTCTCTACAGGTTCGGCAGCACGCAAACAGCAGAGGCTTCGGACATGCGTCAGACATCAGCCCACATCCTTATTAGGCAAGCACCAAGCAAGCATCTACAGCAGTCGCCAACGTCGTATAGGCGTCCCTCACTGAAAGCTGTATTCTTGTGCATCTAGTCTATCGATACAAAGGATGGCACGTGATATGATGATACCAAGCGCCGAAGCTGCAGCAGTAGCTACTCAGGGAGACGGAGGCTTGTAAAGGACAGATCGATGGCAGGAGGTATTGAATGGATGGAAACATTGATGGTCGCCCCGTTGGCGTGACAACGCTTGGCACCTTGACACGCTCTCCGCCTTGTCTTTTTCGTCTACGGTACAGCAAGTGTACTGCTGTAAGTGTGCACACAGGCGAGAGGAGAGCACGTTGATTATGACCAGCAGATACCCACCTTGCCATGCCCCGAAACCGCGCTCAGTAAGTCAGCGACGTCGTGTAAAGCAGAGAGAGCTTGCTGCCAACGTTGACGGCTGTACCTAATGAATCACTCTATTTGTAGTGTTGGCAGCGATCACTTCATGCGTTCATGCGGTTAATAAGGTGCTCCCGCCAACAAAGTGGCTAATTCCACCGCAGTGGAAAAACCAGGAATAATCTGGATCTTCTTTTTTGAAGTCATCATCATTGGACCATCATGCGTAGTCCGACTACGCATAGAATACTCCAAAGAGGGCCGCATGAGATCCATTCGCTTCGCTTGTACCAAAGTCATGCCTGTTCTGACCTGCTTCAAGATTCGGTTGCGTGTGCATCCGTCGAACTACAAAGCACCTAGAAGTACCAGAAGTACCACAATACAACGCTTTTTCCCGGAAGCGGCCCGGTGGTCGAAACCGACAACTCTAGAGAACATTTGAAAAAATCGACCAGTCGCGTCGAGGGTGGCCACGCCTACCCCGAGCGGCTCCACCCCCTCACCGTCTGCGTGCTGCTTCGAATGATGCAAGTTAAACATCAGAGGACCGTTTGGTTCCCAATCGCACTGGTTGCGGTCTTCGTCGTCAAGCTGCGGGTCGTCGGTCTCCGGACTTCCGGTCCATGGTTGTACTCCGAACGGGCCCATGTCGATCATCATCGCCGCTCGCCATCCCCGAAGCGAGAAAGCTCCCGCCAATAAAAGCAGGAACACGGCGCCAGAACTCCGAGTCCTTCTCCGCTCTAGAAACGGCGGCCAGCGGCGCGAGCGCCAGTCGCAGTCCTGTTGTTGTTGTTGGTACTGATTCTGCTGCTGCTGCTGGTGCGGGCTAGACACGTGCGGCGTCGAGTCGGAGGGTTGTCTTCGCTTCGTCGAGCCGTTCTTCGCCGGGGAGCTCATCATATCCCCGTTGTCTCGCAGCGCCGCTGAGATGTCCCCGGCTGCTCGTGGCGCGGGCATACCGCGGTGTTTCGAGACACCACCCATCACCCCGCAGGTATCTCGGCACAACGTCTCACTTGTCACGGCGTAGCTCCGCGACACGACGGTTTGGGGAGCACGCACACGATATCAATCTTAGAGACGGGCGGGGGGGGAAGGGTTTGTTCAGGGGGTTCTTGGATGGTGCGGAGCCTTTCCAGGCGTGCGTGCGTGCGTGCGGCGGTGAGATGCATGCCTCACCATACTGGCCTAGGCCGTGGTAAAGAGCTCACGATACCGTCATGTGGCTTGCCCAGCCACGAATCGCGCTCACAAGACGCCGGTGGGCCAGCTCTTCTAGCTTGCTGCTGTGCAATGAGCTTGTGGTAGCACCACACACCCAACGCAACCACCAGCACCAGTTGCAGTCGAAAATCGTCTCGCACCTCCGGGCATCATCGTCAGCAACAGCAGCATCTACCTGCGGCGGTAGCAGAATACATTGCTCCCGCACACTAGGTGCAGTGTCGAGTCCCGCAGCAGGGTCAGGGTCGTCTCGATGGGCCACAGCTCGAGGTCGGCGACGTCGAAGCAGTGCGCCCGGACGGGAGGCAACAGCAGAAGTAGCCCCGCAGCACCGAGGCGCACAGCGGAACGCGCCAGCAGCGGCGTTGGATCAGGATGGCGGCGCTCTCCTGAGACGAGTGGCGAGGTATATCGAAGAGGATCCCGGCGCGGCCGATAAGCTCGGGAAGGCGGTGAGCAATAATTCGTTGTTGGTGTCTTGTGTGCAGAGTCAAGTATGAGCTGTTCCAACCTTGGTTGCGTGCAGTGTATTGGGAGCAACTCTTTTTTTGGAAACGAAAGAGTATTCGAAACAACAACACGAAAGCAGGAAGCGCAGAGATGGCACCCCCGTGTTAGCCGTTTTGTATAGGGTATTTCTCCACCACCAGGGGGGTACCACTGCCGGCAAGGGTAGTTTTGGAAACATCTCGTCGAGGGCTTTCCTGAGAGGTATCGGGTGGTGTTCACACCCTCCTAGTTGTGGAGAAATACGCTACAAAAAAACGCTCAACACGGGGGTACACTATCTCTCCGACTCTTTCGGTACTGCTGTAGACCCTCCTACGATATACAGGTGGCACACGCCGTCTTCACGTCTGTGCCAACAGCAACCGTTGCCGTGTTTGAGTTTTAGAAGTGATAAGTTCATGCAGTTCGTTCGGCAACCCTGTATCCCATGCAAGGGGCAAGATCAGGATCGGTGGCGCTGCCACTAAACATCTTGATGTGTATACGTGACTCGCATTTCGAACAACACGAGGCAGGCGGTGATAGTATAGTAGGTATGCCGTCGAAAGAACGGTTCCAACGATGCGCGCTGCCACCAACAACTGACAAGACTCCTGAGAAATCCAAGGCACTTCCGTTGTCGCCACCTAGACCACGGAGATAACCGCAAAGCCTCGACGGGTTGCTCATCCAGGCTCCAATACGGGCGCCAAGCACTGGTATTTGTCTAAGCGAGAGTCGGATATGTACGAGGCGAACTATGAGACGGTTGTCTCCAGGTTCGCGTGTGAGCAAGTTCCCTTTGGGATATGTGGTGTGGATACACATCGGTTCAACCTCTGGTGGAGAGGCTGACGAGTACGGATAGTGTTGAGCTGTGGGAGTGTCAGGTGGGGAGCAACCTTGTGTTGAAGCAAGGTTCAGCATCCAACCTGCACTGACTCTATCTGTGGTGACACCCCGAATATGGATCTCCGGTAGGTCATCTGACTTCACAATCTACGACAGTCTGAGTGGCATTCACAGAACGATTGATTGATTGATCTGCTGCCTTTCTCCACGGCGGGGGCAAATCAAACACCAAGCAGCCGACAGCCGACACGGGGAGGCGAAGGTCGTCTCGACCCCTGTGTTCACGTTCGTCAAGATCGCCACGTGCCGTTTTGATTCCCGGTGGCCGAAAATGGGAGAGCCGTACAGCATGCGTATCCGCACTCCACCTGCATGCCCCCCCCCCCTCTTCCCCCTCGTGCTGTGACTGCGATGCCTCCTTGAAGATGGACGAGGGGAGCGGCCGCAGATTGAAGGATGCCCTCGATGGAATGGAGTATGCCGTGCGAGAGCCTAGCTTGAGACAGCTGCGCAGGGTGGCATTCATCAGCGCGGTGCCCTTCGTGGGCTTCGGGATTATGGACAACGCCATCATGATCGTGGTGAGTTAATTTGACGTCTTTTGTCTTGAGTCTTCAAATGAACAGCGCTATAGAATACACATACCCCCTGTACATTCCCGGATGCTAACATCGCAACCAATGGATTTGTGCAACATGTTTAAGGGTTGATGTTTAGGTTGGCCTAAAGTAAGGGGCGTTGCCTCACAGTTGTCTACCCCCAGTAGGCCTATTTCAGCTGTATGCCGTCTGCGGCTGCATGCAACAGCAGTGCAGACAGGTGCACGCAGGTGATCTGCAGGCACACCACCATTGAGGAGAACAGCAGCGGCGGAGTCTCGAACGGCAGCTCTTGTCTTTCGACTTTCGACCCCGCTCTGCCGCGTGTGCAGCCAATCAATGCGGTTGAACAGTTTTTGGTTCAGAAACTGGAAGAGGGCTTGAGGAGAATAGGAGTATGTGGGACGGTCTGTCCAGCTCGGGAGAGTTTGGTGACAAGCATTACGGTCGCAAAGAGCAAGGCAACGAGCCCCGCTGCCCTCCCCCCCCCCTCCCATATTTTTCGTAGGCTGGTGAGTACATTGACATGACGGTGGGAATCGCCATGGGCATATCCACCATGGCCGCGGCGGCTCTTGGCAACACCATCAGCGATGTCGCTGGCGTGGGGTTGGGGGGCGTCATCGAGAACTTGGCCACGAGGCTTGGGCTCCCCCCGTCTAAGCTGTCCAGGTGCGCGGGGGATCTGTGGGTTGGTATCACGCTGCCATCATGAAGTACGGCGTAGGAATAAGAGGAGTTGGTATCACGGTGTTGTAGAGTATTGCAAAGAGGGGTACCATCAACTCTTGACGGGTGCGCTCCTCACAAGGGTGTCTGTCGTACTACATGCGGAGGGGGCCGAAAACGATCGGGGGCATCCTTGTTTCACAGCATTCCGTCCATATCCACAACTCTTGCAACTGCCTTGCACTTCCCGATTGTCGTCAGGGTTTGTCCTATAGTAGCACTCTTGCTCCCCAAAGTTCGAGAGGTGGAAGATAAATGACGCATCCACCGTTTCTGGGGTTCATGGGAGTAAAAATGATGTGGGGACCAAAACCACTTTGACCGCCATACGTGGCTTGCCTCTCTCGCCTGTCCATAGGGTGGTGCAAATTCTGAGGAAGCTTTCCCTTCTGGGATGCGCTGTACATGTATGCGCGTGGAGCCAGCCATACGCTTGCAACGAGAGATGACGAGCTCCACTTTTAGGCCACCGATTCAGAAGAAAAAGCAAAAGATGGCTTGGTCCGTTCGTCTTGTTTTTGCAGTCGATAGGGAGCAATCTCGAAGCCCTGCCCACAGACTGATAGCCCAAGGAGGAACCTCTGTACGCTCCTTTCTCGACGGGCTGCGGGGTGCAACCTCCCCTCTCCTGCGCTCTCACTTGCCCTGGCTCTGACTTCGAACCATCTCGACGTTTTTCGCAGGGCGCAGATGCTGCTGCAAGCGACCCGCACAGCTGGGCTGGTCGGGTCTGCCATTGGGGTCCTGGTGGGCTGTCTCATCGGCATGTTCCCGCTGCTCTTCATGCCTGATCCCGAGGTGATGGAAGCCGTCAAGAGAAAAGAAAAGGTGAGGAGGTTCCTTCGCAGGCGGGAGGTTTCGATCGACTGATCTTACAACGATGAGCAAGACCGCACCGCGTTGTCGCCGCCTCTCGGTGTTGGCATCTACTTGGTGCTTGTCGTTCTATTGTTGTTGCGGGCACGCGTCTTGAGCCATCGGCTAGCGTTTTTTATACAACGCCGCACCGACAAGGCACGCAAGTTATTTTCCGTCCACGTTCCTTCGGAGGTGCTTGCCCTCTCCCAGTCGTAGCTTCAAGTTGTTGTAGCCCAGTTTTTCGATTCGCTCTTGTGCAGCGTTTGCGTGTTTCTTGGTAAGTTTGGGTGCGGCCTTGTGTCTAGGCGGGTCGCTCCAAGATTGTTTCTTCTTGTTTTGCGATGCCGGGCTTCGGTGGGCGATGCTGAATATTGTAGTTCGCCTCCCTCGGGAGTGACCCAACAATGGGGCCAAGGAACCCTGCAAACCAAAAGTAGATACAGGTCTTGCTGTTTTTGTCAACCTCAGACTGACTGTTCCGCGCAGGGTGGTGTTGATCGTCGCATTCCACGTTGCCCACTGCTTTGGTTTGTACCGCTGCTGCTTTGAGGCGGGTAGTAGAAATTAACCAATCTCGCTCGCTTGTCCTCAGCTACTATAGAACCCCCGCCCCCATCTCACCGCCACTTACAATTGCTTAAGCTTTCGAGAGCCGAGGCTGCAACCGTCTTGTAGATTTAATAGCGTTGGATACCCGGTAGACATCATTTAGCGCAATATCCCAAACGGAGAAGTACTTTAGGAGATCTTGAACACCAGAGTGGTGCCGCCGTCCTCCCTTCGTTGCTCGTGTTGTGACGCCTCTGCCTGCGACTGTGGCGGTAGATTGTAGGGCTTGTCGACGCTGTGGTGGAAGAGGCGGCCGCTTTCCTTTCGGCGACTAGCGCTACCCTATTCATCCTGGACAGGGAACACGAGATCTTGTGGGCCAGGAGAAGAGGGGCACCGGGGACTCCTAATGCGGGAGCCCTGCAGGTGAAAGTGGGACAGAGGGTGCTCGTGTCCAATGTGCCGAGAGTATCAGTTTTTTGCCATTGGATTGGGAGAATGTGCCGCCCTGCGGGTTGGGTTTGTGTTTGCGTATTCTAGCGACCGTTGCGGGTTTGTGAGTGGAGAGGCGGTTGTCAGCAGTACAAGGAACAGCACATGGGAGCGTGTCTAACCATTGTGAAATCTTCTCTACTCGTGTCGAAGAGTGTGTGCCGCACTGCTATTGTCACTCTCACTCGTCAGTGATTAAGAATCCGGCATCGAGGAGGCCACGTTGCTCACTGCTGTACCACGACTCCTTTGGAGAAACCCGTCTAATCATTGCAGACAATGTGCGGTTGCATACCGTACCCGTGCACCTGACCGCCCACCGTCTCCATACTTATAATCGGGTCTACATGTGGTACGACATGTATGTTTTTTGTTTTTCGTCCTTGACCTTTGCCTTTCTGGTCTGATTCGTGTCACCCAGGACCTCAAGATCGAGCTTGCGCACCGCGGGGCGGTGTCCGACGCCGCACGCAACGGGGAGCCCGTGATCATGCCGGCCGGGGCGGGGGGCGCGGCACCTTCGATGCTGTGCATGCCCGTCTACGGTGCGGACGGGCTTGTCGCCGGAGTTGTCCAGGTTGTGGGAAAGAAATCGAACGGAAAGGCTATCGACGGCGGGTGAGAGGGAGGGTTCCGTTGCAACCGGCTGCCACTCCGCGATCAAGTTGGAGCTTGAGTTGGTATCGAGTTTGGCGATGTCCCATCGCTCCGGTTAACGTTTTCGCAGGGGCCGTTCCTCTCTCAGCACCGTGTTTTTTTTTTGCAGCTTTACTGAAGGGGAGCCGGCTTGAAATCGGAGCTACCATGGTCGTGGGAAAGACCGATTTGGCAGAGGAAGGGGATGCGTGGTGTTTGTGTTTACTGGTTGCCGTTGTGTGGTCAACTCGACTGTTTGAAGTCATCTGCTCAGCGTCACGGCTGCGGGTGCTTAAAAGCCCTGGTGCCTTCATTCACATCTCTTAAGCTCTGTGAATATAGCCTGGTTCGGATGTGCTTTTTTGACGTTGCCCGTTTTTTTTCTCTGTCTTTGCGGCATCAGGTTCGTCCTGTTTCATTCATCTGTTGTTTTACAGCTTGATACCTGAAGCTGCGAAGGAAGTATTTGAAAAAAAGGCCTGCCTGCTGTCCGCGCTCCGCCTTTTCCGCGTTTTTGGTTGTCGCCTGTTCTGGATTCAACGAATCACGTGTCTTCTGCCGCCCCTTCTTGACACTCTTTTCCACAAACCCACGCCATGTGTGGTGTTGTCGTCTGTCTGCCGCGTGACTTGACTCCCAGGTTCACCGCTGACGATGCGAAGGATCTGTCGGCTCTTTGCTCGCACATCAGCGTAGCCCTGGAAAACATCAAGCGCGCTGACGAAGCCGATGAGGTGAAAAAAAAAGAATCCCCCATACCGGATAAAGCACGTACCGTGATTGATACACGCAGTGGTTGTCTACGGGTGGTTGTCCTAGTATGGCGCCACCGTTTCAGTTCTCTGTCACCAGCTCGAAGTAGAGAGCACCGGGGGGCATATAATTGGATGCAGTTGGTGCCGTGCCGAAAAGGGCTCATGAGATAGGCCACACTAACAGTTGGCACACGATTTGTTTGTTTCGTTCGCTGAGTTTTTTCTCTGTTTACTATTTATTTTACAGACGACAGGCGTATCCCGTATGTAGGCGCTCGGATTCGTTGTTCGCTTTCCCGAAGTGCGTGGCACCCTGTTGCTCCGAAGCGTCCAACCTGGCACGACATCGCTTTGCGCACACCCATCATACCAGAGTCTCGACGCCTGGGTTTGTTGTAGACGCTGACAGCGAGCGTGTGGGACTCTGTTTCTCCCTACGGGAGTATCTCGTCGTTTTCAAACGGCCGATTACGTTATGTAGTGTTTGTTTGCCGTGAAGCACCTGGCCTGCTTGAACTCCTGAGCGTTACAGCTGCTAAAAAGCTTGGCCTCGTGGAGGCTTGTTTGTTGTACTCATATTCAAAATATCATTTTTCCGTCGTGTTTCTTCTCTTCCACGCGATGATGTGCTCAAGGCTTGTAGTTTCCCTCGCTTGAGTCATTTTTTCTACTTCTCTCGTGCTAAAGATTCAGTGTGTGCTGCTTTACCTTGTTTCGTTCTTTCCCGCGGTGCGTCCATCATGCATGTGGTTTCACTGCCGCTGTCCCAGGTGGATCTTCGTGAGACGATCTCGCTCATGCAGTCGTACGGAGGGGTGAAGCAGCACCCCTTTCCCCAGCATCGATCGAACAGCGCGCGAATCGCCCCCTGCGCCGCCGGGAAAACCGCCGGCATTGGCGGCGGGGGCGGCGGCGTTATCGCGAACGACGTAGATACGGGAAAATAGCACCCGTTCAGGGCTTTGTCTGTTGTCTCTGCCCAGTGGCGGGACATTGACGCGCTTTGTTATGAACGAAGTTAATGGATGTATGTATTGCATGGCTTTTGGCTGGCAACGTTCTGCTTTTCTTTGCGGTTTTGTTCCAGCGTGTTGGATAAACCGGGTAGGCCGAAGCTTGTAGGTTTGTGGAGAAAGGCAGCTCGGCCAGTGAGGGCCGAGATGGGAAAGTCTTGTATTAGAGGGAAGAGGGAAGGGCAGAGACCACTCGAGGCCGAGCAGCCGAAGAGCGCGTCACCACACCTATCCGTCACGCAATTCAGATCACTCATCGAATCTCCGAAGAAACCAAGCAGAAACTCCCTGTTCCTCCGCGATCTACCAACTGCAATCTCCGTAGATCCTTGTCCCATACTCAACCACATTACTATGCTACGAGTATATCTAACACAGCATGAGTGTGTGTTTAGTTTTTTATATCGATCGCTCGGGAAATTCTTCGTGCTTGTCGAGACCGTCAGATGTCTCTGATGTATAGTGTAACGACAGTTGGCTAGTAACGATAGAAGAGTAGAACTCGATGTTTTGAACGTATGGCAGTGAATGTTTCGTGCCACTTTTGCTGTAGACGTTGGTCAGCTGATCGACACAGCACATGATACTGTGTGCCATTTTTCTGAAGACTCTCGGGCGTTTTGGGGGGGCTTCAGTTTCCTGTTGCGGCCAACCAATTTCCGCACGCGATTCGGGGAAGATTGAAAACAACATGCGGTACTACGCATTTGTTTCATTTTTGGCCGATCTCCAGTTCCTTCTCAAGAACCACGCTTGTTTTTCTTCGATCAACGTTCTCGAAATTTCTCCAGTGGATTTCGAGCTGATGGAAGCATTGCTGCTGGTGTAGTGTGTGATTCACAAGTCTCGGTCGAAGTCGCGATGAAATCACATCTCTTTTCGGCAGGGGCCACGCAGCAGGTGGTATGTTGTTGTTGTCTGATGAAAACCGTTCCGGTCTCCGCTCAGTACCTTCTGATGTTCGTACTGACTGGTCCAACTGACGCTGACGCCTACTGTTGTCACAAGCCAACTACATACCCCCAAAGAGAGTGGTATGCGGCATCTTATACCTGGTTTGAAGTATATCGAACGGCATCGAGCAAAACTGCCGGTACCACTCAACAGATCCTTTCTGGTAGCTTGGCATGCTAGGTTGGCATGCTAGCTTGGTATGCTAGCTTGGCAAAAGGGCTGTCGTGCAGTGCTTAACCTTGCTGAAAGACATTATGACGAGCTTCTTGCGAAACGGCCTGGCGCTGTATACCGTATATGACACAAGATAACACACCCCCTTGACCAATTTTCGAAGCTCGATTTCTCAACTGCAGGAACAGCCACAGCGCCGAAAACGACGGCGTTGAAACCGTCTCGTCGAGAGCTTTTCGAAAATGTATCGTTTCGTTTATGCATCCTATTCGTCGTGAAGTAATCGAGCTTTTTTTTTATTTTACAGCTTTGAAAATCGATTCAGGGGGTGTGTTATCTTGTGTCATATACGGTAACGCCCAACCGAGTTACCAAATTGGGTGGGACGACACTCCACCAAATTCCTACGCTTCACCGTCCGTACGATGTTCACAACGACTAATTACTCCATGTGCGGAGTAGAAAAGAAGCTGGCAAACGGTGTTAGTGCAACGTGGTCCAACTGACTAAGCGGTGGAAGCTTTCATGAATATCTCGCATCGAGGAGTTCAATAGAAAAGTTCTACATAATAGAATAGGGAAAGGGTGGCGTCCGCGAGGCATGACGCGAACACTCACGATGTTTTCGGAGTTTTCGAGCGGATCAACCACGTGTGTGTCTGGCATCGCCCACCCGAAACTAGTGTAAGAAGTCGGCTTGTTCAATCCAGGTTGGCTTGGGTTGGGGAATGGGGAACTTTTGATAAGACCGCCGAAACTCCTGTACCCCGGAGTTGCAACGAACATACGCTTCCCGATTCCGGAGGATGACCACCTCGTCGAGATATCTCTTTGAAGGATATGTCTTGAAACCATACAGTAATGCTTGAATGGCATCTGCTCGAAGTCGGCCTCTGTATATTTCCTCAACACAGTTTGAAATGCTGTGAAACCTGACAAGGATGCGGCATATCCTCCTAGCAACCCCCGCGCCCCTCCGAACCGTAACTTACGAGATACGCCGCATATCTTTAGCCGGTGGGAGGTGGGAGGTGGGAGGTGAGAGTGTGGGGTGTGCATTCAGCTTTCGACTCACTCAACCAGAGCGACTTCAGCCAGAGGCAGAGAGAAGGAGAGGGAGAGGGAGAGGGAGAGTGGGTGAGATACACGAAGACAGAAAGGGGAAGAGGGGCATCGAGAGCGATACGGGGACTGAGCAAGAGAGGTGAGCAGACGGAGAGAGACACGAGTCTACAGTAGTACTGCTGTAGAGCTACTGCTGTAGAGCTGTAGAGAGGAGGAGTTCACGCGAGAGAACCAGAGTGAGCCCGAGCGACAGAGAGATGTCTACGGCAAGATGCAGATGCAAGAGATCGACCGCGCTGAGGATCTCACCACCAGCTAACAGCAGTGGTTGGGTACAGTGGCGGTCTGCTGTGGTCAAGGCCGATTGAAGCCCGGTTTCGGTACATCTAACCGTTGTTCGTGTTTTTCCTGCGGCGCACACGTGCAGAAAATCATGTCGTTACACACCAACGAGGGAGTGCCTTCGCATGGGTGGGATTCCAACGGCTGCGGGCATTCACGCGACGACAGCCTAACGGTGAGCTTGAGAGCCGAATGGGTGAACTATCTATCCTCCTATGTTGGTCTACGTGTGAACAGTCCTCCACGGACTGGCCTCCAATACCCAACAACTGTGAGACTCTCATAGTCTAGTCTACAGAGACAGACAATCGAAGCGACGAACCTGTTGATGACCACGGCTACGCTTCACCCACCAACCTCGCCCCTGCGACAATGTATGACCACCTCAACCGTGGGTAGATATTTCACGCGTGTCAGCTCTTGGTATTTTCTATAGACTAGTGTGACTGACTGCTGTTGCCGAGGGTTTCAGATGGCTCTTGCTGTATTGTCTAACCGCTGCGGATGTATATGTCAGCTATATAGCTGTATGTACGTACACGCATGTCGCTCACGTATATGTCATGTACCAAAGAAACACCAGTTGGCCTCCTGCCTGAAAGCGGTCCATGACTGCGGGTGACCCCTATATGGACCCTCGACATTGGTTGTGGCGTTTTGCACGGAGTTGCGAGCAGGAATTGCCGTGTTGACGGGCCGACTGATGTAACATTTCGTGTAACAGTAAATTATCGACAGCACGGGTGGATGACGGCAATTAAAATTCATCACACCTGCCGTGAGTAGTATTTCTATCTCTCGAAACCGTGGGGCGCGCAGGAGAGACACACAACGGAGCTCGGTAAGGAACATTGAGGCCGCCCTCTCGCTATCCGGTGGTGGTCGGACGTGTATTGTTCTAACTAAGTAGATAATTGACAACCGTATTTTTGCCCCCTTACCCATAGGTGACCGAGGATCAACTGGTGGCGGTGCGTCATGAGCAGAAGCACCGACAGCGGCTGGGTGAAGAAGTGTACCGCGACTCCAAGAGGCAGGTTGCCACGAACCTAGACCGGATGGCTATGCTCATGTCCGAGATCTATGACCGCAGGGTAAGAGTTTGAGGTCTGATCGCTAAGTGTTGGTTGGGGCGGAGTGAAAGTGACGGGGTGGCCACAGACAAGCAGCTTATGTACCCTCGCTGTCAATATTGTACACTACCCTCGGTGTGACAAGAGTGCTGTGCGATGAAAGGGACAGAGTACTGTTCGCGTGCTCGCTCGACGGCGTCATTTGACGTGTGCCGTTCATGTGCTTGTTGCGTCAGACCTCCGAGGAGCGGCGCCTGAGGCACCTCGTTGGTCTGGCCATCGATCTGAACACCGCCGAGGCAAGCGTTCTGCAGGGAGAGGAGGTGGGTGCTGCACGCGGTTTTTCAGCCTCGAAGACCGAGGATACAATTGAACAACGAGAAACACGCAGCAGCCCCATGTTTTCTCGAATCTGCTGCCGCTGTCTTCAGCGAAGCGGCCATCGTCCGCATACAGGCATTTCGTTCGCCCTGTTAGCACCCTTGACCTATCCAACACAACCACTCGCTAGCTCCAAGTCACGTCTCTACCGTCACGTGGCCGTGCTCAACATGAGTGCGGTCGTAACGGACTACACCAGACCCTCGCACACCACTGCATCAATACTATCCGTGCACCACTTATTGCATGCCTACCGCCCGCCGTGGGGTTGACAATCCCCAACCACACCCCGCCACACTGCTCGCCGGGTCCCGTTGACCAGGCACGCCCCGTGGTTGCTACTATGAAAGGCCTGGCTGGCCAGCTTGCGACGGTCGGGCCGGAACCTTTGTCGGTTATCGACGATGCTAATAACCAGATGTTCGACCTGAAGGCTCAGGAGTCAAACCTCCAACACGTACTCCTAGGGCGCAATCGTGACCTCGAAGCGCAAGTAGCACAAGAAAAAGACCAGAACTGGTCTCTGGGGGGAAGGGCAGGTGCTTCTCTGGAACTTCAGAAATCCCACCTTCTGCAGCGCATCAAGGTGCACAACAAGTTCATGGTGGACTTGCTGGGCTTCATGGACAAGAAGAAGGCGGTGGTGAGGCGCGCCGTACTTCGCTTGGAGGCTGCTCTAGCGACGTGCGATGTGAGTGTCTACCAAGGCAGTAGAAAGCAGGATAGCGTTACCAGTCTCTCGCTTCTCCCAAGGGGGCTCTGAAAAAGAGTACGTGCGGCACCACATCGGGAGCCATCCTCGTTAGTAGGGAATGGCTCTTCTCGGGCCATCCGAACACCTATGCCCTACCCCCACTGTAATGAAATTTCCCAAAACAAGCACCCGGCGACGTCACTCTCCCCTCACATTCAACGGCAGTGAAAAATTCCACTTTTTGACTGGAAACAGGCACGGGATAAGGTTATTTCGGCTGCAGACGAGAGAGTGGCCAAGGACATATTAGAGCTAGTAGATCGCGCGCAGAACAAGGTGAGGGTACTACACTCGGGAAAAGTAGGTTCGGCAGAAAGGTTCCCTGTGTAACAATGGTGTTGCTGCCTCACACGCACAGAGATTGCACGAGATTCAACACCCTGTGTGATTTTCGGCAATAGTGTCAACAAGATGGGGCTTCTTGTAACCTGTTTTTGCTCATTTGGCGTCTCGCGGTATCCCTCGCGCGTTCGACAGTGTTCGTCATCGTCGCCGCAAGCAACAACAGACTGCGCATGCGATGTTTCGAAGCTTCAGCCGCAAGGGTCGGTGATAATGACTACCTGCCCCATGCCCTTGGCAATGGAACCGCTGCTCGTCCAGGAACCAGTCGCAGCTCCGGTGGAACCCCCCGCTAACTCCGTCACCACGGCGCTCAACAAGTGGGTCGAAGGAAGCTTCTTCAAACGGTTCGTGGCGCGCACCATGGCAAGGAACAACGTGGACGCCACCTTCTTGGCTACACGAGCTCTGTCGCCGGTGGATACGTGGTACGTGCTATCCACTTGCCTGGGACGAGGAACTTTCGGTGGCGTCTTCAAGATAGACGTCCTCACCCTGGGGGAGAGCTTCGCCATGAAGCTAATCAATGAGGTAGGTGTGATACCTCCGTGTTGGTGCACTGGTTGCTCTTGATGGTGATCATGTGTAGCCATTGCAAAGCGTTCGATGAGCTGTCCCCTCCTTGTAGTTCTGCGTAATGTGATAGTTCAAGTG